GGACAACAACGAACAGTCAAGTTTGAGTATTCATGGAAAAAAACTATTGTTGCATATTATGGAAATCTTCTGTATCCGAGCAAATCAGTATTCCGGAACGTTGATATATTCAGGGGTTCAAGAGACTTGACGAAAGCAGTCGAAGGCTTGCTCTGGCGCGTATACTGTGTTCCTGAACACATGGTCAGAGGCTTCTTTGAAGAACGATCGATCGGGACACAAACGGAAAGTCAAGTTTGAATAACAATAAGGACAGATAATATTTGCATAAAGGAAAGCTACAAGTTTGCTCGCAAACCAGTATTGCAGCGGGTGGACATAACCAAAGGCTCGTGAGTATTTGCCTCGGCCCGTACGCGGTGAATTTTGAACGCATACGCGGTGTTCCTGACATCCGGTCAGCTGCTCGGAAGGGCGATAGATCAGGACACAAACGGAAAGTCAAGTTTGAATAACAATAAGGACAGATAATATTTGCATAAAGGAAAGCTACAAGTTTGCTCGCAAACCAGTATTGCAGCGGATGGACATAACCAAAGGCTTGTGAGCATTTGAAGGATGCCTCGGCCCGTACGCGGAGAATTTTGAACGCGTACGCGGTGTTCCTGACAACCGGTCAGCTTCTCGGAAGGGCGATAGATCAGGACACAAACGGAAAGTCAAGTTTGAATAACAATAGGGAACACAGTACTTGCACACAGATAAGTTTCAATATCAATAAGGAACACAGTACTTACACACAGGAAAGCCACATGTTTATTGGCGCAAATCAGTATTTCTACGGAGGGACATATTCAGAGGTGCGAAAGCACTTGAAGGATATGTTAAAAAAAATCGTGGTTCTGAGAAATCATGTGACCAGGTCTTCAAAAACACCGCGTAAACGTCGGTTTATCCTATTGGTGCGACCCCCTGAAGATACATATCCGCTGAAATATTGATTTCTGCATGGACCTGATGACGCTCCTGTCCTGAGCGATCGTTTTTCAGATAATGCTCCGACCAGACCTTCAGGAACACGGCGTACGCGTTCGTGCATTCTTCGAGTACTCTCGACCCTCTGAACTTATCAATATACTAGAAACTTATTTGGTCGTCGAGTCCTCTCGACAAATCACACTTCCAGAAGAAATATCCAGGTACTTACGCGTGCATCTACCGTTAAGCAGCTGCGAGTTCTTTCTAATGGTGCTGTGTTCCATCTTGAGCGTAGGTTCCCGAGAATGACCATACTTTACGATAGAAGCTATTTTCTTTCCGAGTGTTGGCTAGATTCTGGCGGCACTTGCTCGAACGCGATACTATCTTGACCAAAGGGAAAAGAGGAAAGCCAGGGGAGGCATCCTCCTCATTCAGAGAGACGACAGGCAGATATGTAATTATCAAAGAAAGCTCGAAGCCAGGCACCCCGTCGATTGCGCTCCCTTGTTTCTTGCCCCATCCCAACATCTTACCGACCTACGATCCTCCCTCAATTCACCTGTCAAGCTGATACCACGCGCCCTCGACGCATTCACTCCTTCTCCAATTCAGAGCATGGACCATGTCCTCTCTTCCATCGATATCGACACTATCCCTCCCCCTCTTCCCTTGAGACGCCTCCTGTCCTCGGATCTTGAGGTGCGAAAAAATCGAGTGAGGGGAGGGAGGTGTTGCGTCTCAGCCATCGCCCTTCTCTTCTTAGTGCGTATATACAGTCGTTCGCCCTGCCCTCCTCCCTTCTCTCCTCGCTTCCTACCTCCTCTTCTCCCACCTTCCCTCTCTTCACCCGCGATCTGTGCTTGTCAGGTAATACTTAAATATTAATGATCGACAATGTGCATCAGGGCCTCTCGTAAGGTGTTGAAGTATTCCTCCTCGTCAAGACAATACGAGCCGGCGTTGCTCAGGATCACCTTGGCAGGTTAGGATTATGGAAGAGGAGGCAGAAGCTGGTGTTAGACGATGATGGGGACAGGAGGAAGGTAATCAGGGAGTGAAAGTTGGCAAGAGGGCAAGCCTTATGGAGCCTCGGGCCCTTTCACTCTAAGGGGCCCATTCCTCTCACCCTTTTTCCCTCCCTCCCTCCCACCTTCTTTCCCATCCGCTCCCTTCCTCCCTCCCCCCTCCTCCGCTCCCTTCCTCCCTCTCCCGCCATTTTATTTTTTTGCGATGCATGCAATCGGCCAGCCGCAGGGCTGTTTGGAGGGGCACCTCCTGGTCTCTCAGGGAGTGGGTGATCCGAACAGGGCTGCGCCCAGGCCTGACGAAGGGAGGAAGGAAGGAAGGGAGGGAGGAAGGGAGGGAGGGAGAGAGGGGAGAAGAGAGGGAGATCTGGCTAGTGGGAGGGAGAGAGGGACGGAGGGGAGAAGGGGGAGAGGAAGGGAGGGGGAATAAGAGGATAAAATGAGACATTTGCACATGCGGCGTATCCCAGCACCATTATCTCCGTCGCGCTTTCAGGGTGTCCGCGATATGGCATCTGCCTTAAGGCGCGATTTATCTTCCCGAAAAGGAATTGTATAGTCATACTCTTGAAATTAAATGCTCCATCTTTCAAGGTGGTCAGTAGTGTTTTTGTCTTGGTTCAGATACCCCAAAGCTTTTTGGTCGTTGATGATATTTCCTTTCTCCTTCCCTTTCTCCCTCCCCCCTCACCTCCTCTCCTTCCTCGTTCAATCCTTCCCTTCTTTTCCCGTTTTCAGACTGTTACTCTTTCGTCTTGACCTCCAGCAACCCCCCTCTCTCCTCCTCCTTTTCTCCCTCCTCCCTTTCCTCTTTCCTTTCCTCCTTCCTTACCTTTTCCCATCCCTCACTTCCTTCCTCGCTCCCTATATCCCCCCATACAGCCGGTGATATCTTGAAGACGGAGTCCGTCTTCCATCAAGAAGCAGAATTCTGGGGGTCGGTGACCTTAGGGAGGGAAAGGGGGAGGAAGGGAGGGAGTGAAGGAGTGAGGAAGAGCAAAGGTGAAGAATGAAGTCGGAGGAGAAGGGGGAATACAACACAACCACGGGGCATGAAGGAGAAAAAGGAATACAGGGCGGGACGCACCCATCGATTGAGCACGGGCATGCCCTTGTACATGATGAGCTGCTTAAAAATGAGGGAGGGAGGGAAAGAGAAAAAGAGCTTGAAAGAGGACTTGACTCAGCGCATTCCTCGATCTCCTTTCTTCCTGCTTGTGTAGCAGGCGCAAGTAACCCTAACCCTAACCCTAACAGGTGTGAGGTATAAAAATAGGCTGGCATTGGTCGAGGGACATCCTGCCAACGGCTTTCGTTGCTGCCAGCTTCTCTTCTGTCATATTCACGTCCTCCTGGTCAGAGAGAAGCGCTGGCTTTTATCCTAACAAATATTCCGGTGACGCCAAGAAGAACAAGGGGCCTGGGTTCAGCTCCTTATTCCCTCTACTCTTTCCTCAGCATTATTTTTTTCTTCGGGAAAATTGGGCCAAAGAGGGCTCCCAAACCACGGTGCCCTAGCTTGAAGCATTTGGGGTATACGGTTGGAGGGGCTGTTCACGCCTTTCAAAATGCCTCGCATTGCTTATCATTCTTTCGTCCTCCCTTAACAAAAGGAGGAAAAACGAGGGGAGGGAGGGTGTAAGCTGAGAATCTGGCGAATGGGATTGTCTTCTTGCTCGACAGGGAAAGTTAGAAAAATAAAGGGAGGCGAAGGGAGAGGGTAACCTTGCCATTGCACAAAAGTTCTTGAAGGGGAGAGTTGAGAGATGAATGGGTTATTAATTTTATGAAAAAATCAGCTTCCATCCTGTGACTGGGAGCGGTACTTGCATTGCCGGATATTTCGTGTGAGCGGTGGGGGGAAACCAGGAAGTGGAGGAGTGTGCAATACTCTGCTCGGAAAGGGGGCCGGAACGATAACGGCGGGAAAGCCAGTCCGTTGACCTGCAGAGTGCGCCTGGCACGCAAGTGGGCGGTAAGGATCGTCCTGCGAGAACCCCAAGAAAGTCGCACACGACTAAAGGAGCACGTCATCTGGCGCGAGACGGCGAGTAAGGATCTTACACTTCCTTTGCTTCCCAATTTTTGTTTTCATTCCTCCCCTCACTTCTCTTTTTGCGTGCGTCTCCGTTCTCAGTTAAGCTCGAGCAGCATCCGTCTTGATCGATGATCCCTCCCTTTCTCCCTTATAGGATAGGGGGAGGATTTCGGTGGCTCCATTTCTCATCCATTAATCCTTCAGGCTGAGCGAAATAGTGCGAGACGGTCCAGAACCAGTCAGGCGCACTGAAATAAGGACAATGATGACGTTGAAGAAGCGAAGAAGGATAATGAGGGAGCCTTTCCACCTCGTCCTTGCTCTGCTTCTCTTCCTCGCATTACGCTCATTTCGTCCTCGCCTACCAGCCTCCCTTTCTTACTTCACTTTCTAGTCCCAACCGTTGTTCGCAGGACCTCACAATCCACGGATGAATGGGAAAAAGTTGACTTTTGCTGTGCATTTTGGTGTCAAAACAACATGATAGGAAGGAAATGTGTTTATTCGATTGAATATTTTTTTTGCTTTCTGACGTGCGGGGATAATGAAGCATTTGGATTCTATGGCACAAATTGAGATAAAGATTTTTTTTCCCCCATCATATCCTACATGTAGATGTAAACAAGTCTAATTCATCGATCACCACCCGCATTATTCATGACTGTCGTTATAAAAGGCAGCTGTGTGTTGCTCGCTGAAAGGAAATCAGCAAAGCGAAGCGAGTCAACGCGTCTGCTGCCCCTTCCAGAGCGGAGAAGACAGCACTCATGACTCTCCGAAGCACGGTACAACTGCCATGGCTTATCAACTGCATTAGTCACTCAAAAGCATGTGCTACAAGTCAATATTCATGCCGAATCGATAGTCAACTCTTAGAACCGCTGAGTGAGTGCCTAGCTCGAAATTCTGGAAGGATTTTTCGGCTCCGTACCTGCTCCGCTCTCAACTCCTTCGACCCAGCCTGATACCATCACATTGCTCGTGTTCAAACTTCTGTACCAATTCCTCACTTTCCTAGGTATTAATGAAAGATAGCTCCGTACCGGCGCCTGTCATGGCAGGCAAAGTACCCAGCGAGCTGTACATCTCTGAGAAGTGGGACAAGTGCCTGGAGAGGTAAGAATCGTATTGAGGAGGTCATGTTCGAGCATTATGAGCTCCCCCGTGTAGACAGAATAGGCTTCGATTAAACAGGAGAGGGAAGTAGAGGAGACATGTTGGAGAGTTTTACGCCGTTGCCCGAAGTCGCTCTCCAGAGTTGTGGGAATACATCACGAAAAATGCAGATTGGGAGGAGACATTAACCGGTCACACTATGTGATCTCTTATATAGTGTGAAACCATGCGCGGAAGTTGAGGCACCATGCCGGTGTTATTTGCGACTTGAAATGGAGAGCGGTGGGGATAGGATGGCGTCTTGATAGGATGTGTTTTTTTGAGGATGGCATAGAGCCCTCCAAATGCAGAGGTGGGAGACGTATCGAGGATGGCCTTAGAGAGCGTACAGGGCGTTGTACCCCCGTAATCATTCCCTGGCTGATTGAGAAGTGCCCTTCTACCGTTCCTCTCGCCGTCCATTTCGCCTCAAGCTTACCTGTCTCCTCGCGTCCCTCCTGTCTTTCCCACCCAGAACCGTCGTTAATGTGGCAAGCGGCGCAGTGCTCGGACTTCTGTCCGGCTTCGTCCTAGCACGTAAGTGAGATATCTGTCTGCAACAGATTGCCCCTCCCTGTTGTCCCTGTCGCTTGAGCCCACGTATGTCCTATTTCTAACCTTACCTGTGGTCTTTGCGCAGGCACGGGTCACGGCCGGAGTCTCGTCGCCGCCGTGGGGGTGGGCTGTGGTGTGGGAGCGTCGTGGGTCAGATGCGCACAGGACTTCGAAGAAAAGGAAAAGGCGTAGTGAGGGGGAGGTAATGTGGAAAAAGGCGAGGGCGAGGGCCTTGATGTATACATTCAGGGAAGAGCGGACTGATGGAGAGGGAAGGGGGTGAGAGAGGGACGCGGATGCATGGACGCTCAGAGGATAGGCTGTGGAGTTTGATCCCTTGTGGTATGGCAGCTAGCCGGCCTAGAGAGACTGATATAGATAGAAGGGGCTAGGATGGGGCTCTGGGCGGCGGAGAAAGACTCAAAGGGCAGTCGGGCGCGCATAGATGCTTATGAAAAGGAGGAAAGGCGGAGGACGTGTCTCGGAGGTGGGCGACTGTATCATGAGGCCGCTTCTGAAAACTTAAGAAGTAAGAGCTTATGAATATGTACTTCTTTCAATGGCATTTTCTGCGCCGTAGCCTGGCTCCGACGACAGTCGTATGGGCAACAAAGAGAGTCGGCTGGTTCAAACCCCTTGAAAGAAAAGTCTCCCACCTTAGCTCCTCATCGACCTGCTCGCCTTGTCTTTCCTGCTTCAGCCACCCGCGAGGAGTTATTGTGGCGTTGTGGGAGGGTGCCCAGCGTACTCTGCTTCAACAGAGCGAGAATGAAATGCTGTGCGATTTGTCATGTGAAAGTCATATCCTCCTCCTTGCATGAAATTCACTTCAGAGGCAATTATTCCAGTAATTCTCCTTCTTTTCCACTGGCTCTGCTTCTCTCAAATATGCAGGCACTATTTTTTGGGTTATAGTTTCCTGTGAGTTATATATACGCGGGCGCTTTCTCGGTGGGTTATTTTTCCATAGAACCCTGCCTGGAGTACCATTCATCTGCCTCGAGTGCCCATTTCTCACGAAGTGGTGGTAGATATTTCATAAATGTCATCTCTTTAAGATTATTGCGTCATATAATACCAAGAAGTCTTCCTCACGCCTCGCCAGACCATGCACACACATGCACGTCGGCGGCGACATAGTACACTCCATGTAGCACATTTCCCATAGCATAAAAACTCTTTATTGAGTACTATGAAGAATGTGAGATCAATATCATTCCTACATAACGAATATTGCAGAAATCAGTTTCAAGGAAGAACGGAGGTGCGTGATGATGGTATGTCGAAAGCGTGCGGCGCCTCAATTGACCTGGTTGCAGGCGCGTGGCTCCGCTTTCCTCGGCAATCATCCCCGGAGGAGAGACGATGACTCACCCCGACGCCAACTCCGAGCGGCGTGGGGCACTACAGAGCACACTTAACCGGAAATCTGGCCAGGCATGCTGCCAGAGGTCGGGCTGTGATGTATGGAGGGACATTTGAAATTTTGGACGTGGACCGGCGGCGTTCGTAGGGATTTGGTCTGGCATGCCCGCATTCTGACATCAGGAGCAGAAGTCTCAGCTTCGATCCTCTTTCTTGGCCTTGGAGTGCGCCACTGGCGACTCCTACGTTTGAACACTGGGTAGGGTGCAATAGTGTATAGTGATTTATGGAGCTTGCGTGATGCGGGGGGCCATGCAGGGTAATCTGTGTGCGCCTTTCTTTTTCAGACGAGCAGGACTTCCACAGGGCAGAAGCAAGGAGGAAGCTCCTGCAGGCTGCTGTATTCTAGATCGGAGACGCAGCTAATTTTTTTACCACACATTGAACCGGAAGCTCTAGAAACAGGCACATCGAAAGAAACGTCGCCAGTTTGACAGTCGTGAGCACGCGTGCCGAGGGGTTGACAACATTTTTCAAGCTTACAGGGACGGTTTGCTTCAAATCTACTTAGCCGCTTGCCAGGCACCAGAATACCTGAAGCTAAACTCCGATGTACCGTGCATCCTTGCGCGCTGCACGTCAGGTATATAGACTTAGGGAAAAGTGTATGCACCAGGACTGTATCGGATAGTAATAGCCGGGGACATGGGAAACCTGCCATTGTGCCGTGTGTCAGCGCGTCGACCCCTTATCTGTGTCTTCACCCGTCTTGGAACAAACCATTACAGGGGGGAGCTTTCTGTCTCCGGTCGTCTCGCATAGGGGCCACACTTTCCATGCGGACCTTCCCCTCCGTCCCTTCTTCCCACTCCCCTTCTTTCACCACTCTTGTGGAGAGGCTCTGGTCGCGTGTGCCGAAAGGCTTCGGGCAATTTTATCCCAAGGAGGGAGGATCTGCGAGCGAGGAAGCCAATGGAAAAGGTGGGTAGTAGTTGGATATCATATGGAAAGAGACGTGGGGAAGAAGGCGGAGAGCTGACCGAGCAGTGTGGAGGATTCTGACGGAGGTGTCCTGGTCCACTCACAGGCGGGGACGGAGCGCGGAAAGAGGACAAGGGAGACGGCCCTCACGCCAACCAGCAGCAGCAACAGCATCAAAAAGGCGGAGGGGGCGGAGGGGGTGGGGGGGGCGGAGGCGGCTTTGGAGGACCTGGAGGTGGGGGCCCTGCGGACTCGAACGGGCGGCTGCTGACGTCTATCATAGGTAGGCCAGGGGGTGGGACGGGGAGAGGAGTTCCACGCTCTAGGGAGGCATTTTGGTAAGGTAGAATGGTTCTTGTCTTTTGCGCCCCAAGAGAAGACTGGTGGCATGACCCTAGCTTAATATGCCCCTCCTCCCCCCCTCCCTATTCTCCCTTCACCCTCCTCTCTTACCAGGGTTGACGGCGCTCGGTCTCTTATTATCCTCCGAGCCCGCTGGGAAGGAAATATCCTGGCAGGAGTTTGTGACTCAGGTCCTGGAGTCCGGGGAGGTGGAGCGCATCATTGTCAGCAACCGGAACGTGGCTAAGGTATACCCGCTCTCTTCCTCTTTCTTTCCCTCTTCCTCCTATGTTGTTTCTCTCTTTCCCCTCCCCGCACTCTTGCACGTTTGCTTTGCCCTTGCACGACGCGAGAGCTCGATGGTGTCTTCGTCAGATCAGTCGGGCCTACCTACTCCCTCCCTTCTCTCCTCCCCCCCCTCCTTCCCCCTCCCAGGTGATCCTTCGCAGGCCTGACCGAGGGGGCTTGAGCGGCGTCGGTGCCAAGGGCGGGGAGGGCGGGGGCGTGTGGCGGGACGGAGGCGCCTCCATCCACAGGGACGACGTGGTTTCACAGGACATGTGGGGCGTCGAGTCAGGTGAGAAAGGGGGACGGCGAGGCGAGAGGAGCGGGAGGAACTAGGCAGGGAGATGGAGGGGTCGTCTTTTGTCTGGGAAGGAGGGAAAAGGGAGGAAGGAGGGAGGGGAGAAAAAAACGAAGAAAGGAGGGAGGACTCGCAAGAGATCCTGGTGCAGCGGTCGCCCCCCCGTCACCTCGTTTGCCCCGCCCCCTGTTTCCACAGGCAACGGCAGCGGCAGCGCGTATCCTCAGAGGGTGAACCCCCCGGGCTCGACCTCGTCTCCCTTCGGCGATTTCGGTTCTGGAGGCGCCAGCACGCCTGGACCAAGTGGAGCCCGTGAGTCGATCGGCATCTCCCCCTCTTCCTCCACGACCGTCCTCTGCTGACATTATCTCTGCTCCCTCCCACTTTCTTGTCCCCCCACCTCTCTCCGCTTGCCTTCCCCACCCTCTCTCCGCTTGCCTTCCCCACCCTCTCTCCCTCATCCAGCCCCCGGCTCCGTGTACGCCCCCTACTACTTCAACATCGGAAGCGTCGAGTCCTTCGAACGAAAGCTGGAGAGCGTGCAGGTGAGGGGGCGGGCAGGAAGGGAGGGAGGGGTGAAAGGAGGGAGACTACCTTAAGGGGCTGGGGAGACGCGTTCCCCTCCGAAGCCGGGAGCCCTCACGACCTGACGGCTCCTCCTAACCTCCCCCTCTCTCCTTCCCTCCTGCCCCTCTCCCTCCTCAGCGCGACTTGAACATACCCACACGGGACTTCATCCCCGTGCAATACGTGTCCGAGACCAACTACGGACAGGAGCTGGTGAGTCGGAAGGGAAGAAATGGGGCACGAGAAGGTCCGACCCGGCGGCCACTCACTACTTTCCCCTCTCCCTCCCTCCCTCCCTCCCTGCCTCCCTCGCTCCCTACCTCCCTCGCTCCCTCCCTCCCTTCCTCCTGCCTAC